GCCATCGATATCTATATGGGGGTTCGGCATTTGTCGTTGGAGGGGGCTGTCCATCCTGGGATCCTGGCTCATGGGGCCAGGCTACCTCCCTTGCGCGCGCTCATTTGCACCAACCCCTTGCAGGAGCCAATGGATCGGTCGGTGGCCTTCGGCTGCGGGAGTGGGTTGATGATATCTCAGCTCGTCTTTTCGGCATGCATTCTTCCATCGCTGCTACCTTTCCCATTCTGCCTGCTCCGAGCCCTCCTCGCTGGCCTCAGGAGGCGTCGCTGTGAGTTGTCCTTGGATAAGTCCCATCTGCTTGCGTCCACGCCAGGCCTTCGGGCTGAGCTTTCCAGGATTGCCGTCCGTGAGGGCTGCGAGTTCTCGGTGGCCTTGGCTGCCGGGGACTTGGGGCACGACGCCGCTCTGGGCGCCAGGGGGGCTGCGGCCGTCAGGAAGACCCGCTTTTCCAAGGGGCGGGATGCCACTAGTAAGATGTTTGTGTTTGGGCGCACGTGCAAGCAAGCCGGTGCATTGTTCTATCTCAGTGCTTATGCGAAGGCCATGTGGGCTCCCTCCATGCTCAAAGGCCTTCGCAGCATGGCGCGTGCTGCCAGCAAGACCCTTCAGCGAGGTGCGTGTGCCACTACCGCTATCCGTCTCACCTACGGCTATGGCCAGGACCCCCTCCAGGTGTACGTCCGTCGCGTCGTCAAGTCGTGGTTTGCTCGTCTGGCGGGACGCCCAGATCTCCTCCGTCGCCTGGCCCGACACTGGGCGGCCTCTTTGGCCAGGGTCCGAAAAGGGTGGACCTGGGTCCGTGGCCCGATGGCGGCTTTTCAAGCCACGATTTTGGCGGTCGGATGGCAGTGCCCCTCACCTTTCACTCTCGTCGCGCCTTGCGGTGACGAGTGGCAGATGATGGAGGACGGGCACGGCCCTCTGGGCCCTCTTCTTGAGGCTTTTGACGAATCGATTGGCACGCTTCAGTGGCGCCAGGCTTCTGAGCACTTGGATGGCGCTGGAATTCAGGGGCCTGTCTCTCTTCATCACGTCTGGGACCTTGTTGCCTCCCTCGAGAAGGACGGGCGTCGGGACCTCGCGGCTATGATTCGGCTCTTGGTCTCTGGTGGCTACTGGACAGGAGAGCAGGCACGAGGCCCAGTTGGCCCCTGATCCTATTTGTCGGCGTTGCCAGCGTGACCCCGAGACCTCCTGCCACAGACTTCGGGATGCGAGGACTTATTCCCCTTTCTTGGTTCAACCTCCCTCCTGTTCCTGGTCCTAGGGACCTCCAGGGGCGGCGTTGTCCTGGGGCCTTGTCTCCAGGCTGTTTGCCAGGAGGCCTCTACGCCACTGACGGCACGGGTGGCCAGTTTGCCAAGTTTCCTGTCCTCCGACGAGTTGCCTTTGCCTTTGTGCGGCTCCGTCCTAGCGATGATTTTGACTGGGATTGTGGAGTCACAGGTGTACTCGACTCGGTTCGACAGACGGTCCCACGCGCAGAGCTTGCGGCCATAGTTGAGTGCCTTCGTTGCGTTGACCCTGCCCAAGATCTGCGCGTGGTCACCGACCATGCCAATATTGTCAAAGGTTTCCTGGCTGGCCGAGCAGCCTCTGCGGGGCTGGCTACTTTTGATCTCTGGTGGGAATTCTGGCAGCTCCTCTCGGAGCGATCTGGGGACTTCCAGGTGCTTCATGTTCCCAGCCACCTGCTGGAGGATGCCCAAAAGCTCGCCCGTTTTGGCGACTCTGTAGATTGGGACCATGTTGTGCTCAACTCTGTCGCTGGTGAGCTCGCTGACCTGCGTGCTCTTGAATGCAAGGTTCCTAATGGAGTTGCTCAGACTTTTAATGCGCTCGTCGCCAATGCCTGTGCTACCCTCAAGCGTAATGCCTCTACCATTCTCGAGTGTGCTGCCCTCAAGACCGAGCCTGGTCGCGGGCTGCGCAAGCAGCCCATTGATCTTGTGCTCCGCAGGCGTCGGTGGATCGAAGCCGATGTGAGGGGTTCGTCGCACGTTTGGGAGTTCGGTTCTGGCGTTTGGACTTGTGGGATGTGCAAGGCTTCGGTGTCCGATGTTGCCCCCTCGCTCCGCGCGAGGCTCCGCTCTGCTTGCTCTGCTGATGGAGGAGGTGGAGTTGGGAGTTCGGTTTCGGTGGAGGCGGAGGAGGTCACTGTCAAAAAGTGGGTGAGGCCAGGTCGGGCCTTGGCCGCCAGGGACGACTCCCTCTGGCGTCGCCTGAGGCTTGACCCGCCCCCTGAGCGAGCTGCGCCTTGGGTCGCGGGCAAGGCGGTCCACCCTTCACACGTTTTGTGGCAGAAAGGTGCGTTCACCTTTTGCGGCGAATGCGGCTCTTGGGCAATAGCTCGCCCTGACTCCCTGCGGGGGCCTTGTCCTGTGGCCGCGCATGGACCGCGTGCCATTACTAAGCACCAGCTCGAGGTTTCACAGAGGGTTTGCAAGGGCCCCCCGCCGTCCAAGACCGCCAAGAGCTGGGTGCCGTAATTCCTTTTCCCTGCCAGGCGACCCCTGCATCTCTTGCACTCTGGAGTTTGGTTGGCAGCGGCGCACTGGAAAAAATCTCCCCCTCCTCCTCCGCCTCCTCCTCCCTCCTCCTTCTCCTCCTCCTCCTTCTCCATCTCCGCCTCCTCCTCCTGCTCATGTCTTTCCTTCTCCTATTCCTCCTCCTCCTCCTTCTCTTTCTCCTCCTCTCTCCTCTCATTCTCTCCTTCCGCCTTCTCATGATCGTTATCCTTCTCCTCCTCCTCCTTCTCTTTCTCCTCCTCCTCTCTCCGTCCTCCTCCCCGTTATCCTCTCCTTTCTTCTCTTCGGTTTTTCCTCTTCCCCCTCCTCCTCCTCCTCCTACTTCTTCTCACGCCCTGAGGGGCCAGCGTCTGAGGTGCCCACGCATGCATACGTCAGCGGCGAGATAGGCGGCAAGTATAGCGGGGGGCGAGGAGAGCAGCAATGGCTAACATCAGCCCGGCTCGCAATACAAATCGAGCGGGGCATATAGATGGGCAACTGACGCCTCTAGCCATGCATCCCCAGGAGGCGTGGGGGCACAGCGTTGTGAGGCTGCCTGCGTGATAACAGCAGCTACGTAGAATTCCACCTGGCTGCTGTCAGGAGGGGCCAGGATCGGCACGGCATTCCTGCACAGGCACTGACGGTCCCCAATGGGCACACATCTCGACGCGGTGGTCGGAGACGTTGCTTGCAGGGAGCGCGGGAACCTGACCTCGGGGACCTTCCATATGCAGGGCAGGTTGGCTTGCGGAGCCGGTGGGTTTAAAATGAGCAGAGCCGCCAGGCCCGAGGACGCCGCGCACAGCGCCAGCGTCAGCGCCGCCCGCAGGCACGCACTGTCGAGCTCCAGCTGCTTCCATTCCGAGGGCGACCTGGCTGAAATCCCCAATGGCTCATCGCAGTTCCTAAAAGGCCTGCATTCACCACCCTTGGCTTTGCAGCGGGGGGCGGGGCCCCACGAGGAAAAGAGAAAATCCGTCACGAGACCAATAACGCGCCCAGCTAGAATAATATCAGCAATGAACAGTAGCTCCTTATGAAATCCCTCAATCGAGTTCTGGAAGAGCTCGATAATATTAAAAGACAAATCCAAAACACTCATGCCCGCTATGGCACTGGACTTCTCCGCTCTGTCCTGGATGTCGCCTTGACTCCTGGGGGCTGCGCGGAGGATCATAATGTACTTAGTACCAGGGGCCGCGGGCAGGTGGACCTCCGCCTGAGTGGGCATCTCTTCCTGGATACACACTGGTTGGCAAGATATTCTCGGCATGCAAGTGGGGGGGCCCTTGGAGGCAGCCGCTCCCCTCAGCCTAGGTCCAGTCGTGAGGGCAGGCGGGAGCTGCGCTGACTCCGCGTAGTGGCCTTTCTCTCGGAGCGCGCGTGCTAGCTCCGCGTCCTCCGCCTTAGCCGCCATCACCTGTTCGGGGCTCAGCGGTGGGGCGACGGCCATGAGGTCCGCCAAGCACTTCGATGAGCCATGCCGAACGTGTTTGAGCAATTTTAGGCGCGTGTGGAGGTTGAGACCGCATGCCATGCACACTGCGCCTGAAACGTAGCTGGGGGCGGGGTCAAGGTGGGGGTGGCACTTCGAGCGATGGGAGGCCCATGCGCCCTTGGTGGCCAATGCCGCCCCACAATCCAAGCAAGGGTACAAGGCAAGGGCCGACGGCGGACGCAAAAACGACGGGAGCGCAAGACCCTTGGCGATGCAACACTTTCGCCGCCCGTCCTTGAATTCTTCATGACGCTGATCGTCGAAAATTTTGGCCCTGGCAGCCGATTCTGCTTGCTTGCAGATTCGCTCCCCAAACTTGTTGCTGCCTGACCTCAGGAGCCGCAACCACCACGCAGGTGGCCCTGACGGTAAGAACTCCCTGGCTAGATTCACATGTCTGCTGAGCCACAACAGGTTATCGCAACACAATGCGGACCATGATTCTGGCACTGAAGCTAGCTCGTCCAGGATCGCCAGCAGACAAGCAGGCGCCGATTTGAGAAGCCTGGGAATAAATCGCAGCCGCCTGAGCCTCAACACCAGCTCGACGGGCATGATCCCACACATGACAACAACTCTTATGGTCTGCGGCAGCCTTACCAGAACTAGAATCGCACCCGAGACCGGCCGCCAATCTAAACGGGCTCGAGTAGTTGTGCGCCAGGGTCGCCATCTGTTTGACGTTTTATCTTGTGCCAAGTGAGGGCATTAAACAGAAGGTGCGACGTGCGCAAAGAAGTAACAGAAATGAGCTTGGCTCTTAAATTGACTTGATTCCTGGGGAAAACCGCGCGCCTCAGTGCCCCTAGAGGACGTCGCTGCTGATGACAGCGGTGGGCCAGCTCGGGCCCCAGATAAATTTGATGGTCCTGGTAACTTCCGAAGTGTTTGTAGGTTCTAGTGAGGCACAGGGAGACGCCTGAGGAAAGGGGCGAGAAGACCAGTGGCAGCCAAGGCCGCACACTCCCCTCGTGGCTTCCTGGAACCTGTGCCGCTGAAGAAGGCCATGAGCTCCGTCTTGCCCGCCTTCCAGTTCATGGTGAACCCCGTAGACTTGGTTTCTTCGTGCATGATCGTGACGGGGGCGATGGCCGCCTCCTTCCAGAGCCTAGAGTCTAACAGCTCGACGCCGTTGACGAGGTCATGCATGAAGGCAGGATCCCATACATCTTCCTCTACATGCTGGTGCTGGCGACCTCTGAAAATCCTCTGAGACGGGACCGCATCCTTAGTCTTCTGAAAGTACCCCAGGGATCCTAATCTACTGTTGACCGCGATGATGATTGGGTCGAAGGCTATGATGAACAGGAGGTCTGCTAGTGGCATGCCTGGCCTCGTACCTCGGCGGGGGGAGACAACCCTGGTGCCCCCCCGTACTTGGAACCAGTTGCATTCCATCACGTCAACCACTGCTTCCAGGAGGTGCTTATTTGCAAGTCCGTCCAGAGCGCCAGGCTTGGCGACTAGGGCATGGCATAGAGGCTCCAGACAACTTGGTACCTCCAAGTCCGCCAGCGTGTTTTGGATGTCCTCGCTGTTCTGGGCCATTCTGGCAACGAACCGTGGGATGACCGAATAGAATGCCGCCTTTAGATCAGTCTACAACGACAGGTATGTGCGCTTCCTAGCCTTGGCAGCCGTCATGGCCGACCGAAGATGCAAGGATGCAGCGTCAGTGCCACGTTGAGGGAGAGCTCCCTGCTGGACCACCGACAGCATGTTCAGCGATGTCTCTAACAATTTACTTCTGAGGAAGGCATGGTGCAACTTCGCCGTGTGACATCCCAGTAGGATGCCTCTGTAGTGTTCCAGGGGTTCGGGGGGCCCAGATTTGCGCAGATCACATTGCCAGCCTCCTTTGAACAGCAGGGGCTCCATGGACGCCACGTCAACTTTCACGAACAACGGCAATAGGATATGCGTGCATTCTTGCGGAGCGACCTGGAACATATCATTGCTGAGACCGTCAGGCCCAGCCCCTCTCCTCTTGGCTGCCTTCGTGGTGTCGTGCGAGCCTGCGGAAGGGGGTGATCATGTCCAACTCCCTGGGATATACATTACCCCGCTCGGGGAGGGCGTTGTATATTTCAGCCAGTTCTTCCCAGCTGAGTGTCTGCCCATTCTCAACTACAGCGAAATAATCAGCGAGGGCCTCCGAGAGATCTCCAGATGTGGCCAAAACCTCGCCCTGAGGACCTCGTCGGATTCTAAGCCCCTCGACCTGAAACTTGGAGCGCTTTCCCCCAAACCTTTGCAGCTGGTAAAGCGCTCTCCACTCCACTCGACTCTCGTTTGAGGACCTAGCGTTGCTCAACTGCTGCGCGAGGTCGTCTTACAGCTTGTTGCGTGAGTGTTTCAAGGCCCTTCTCAGGGCCGGCTTCGACTTGACCAGAAATTCAAGCATGTGCGCCGCTAACACACTTGCCGTCAACATCTGATTATCCCAATAAGCGAAAGCCAGGAAAAGCTCCGAGACCAGGAGGTCCAGCTCAAGATCGATGATGTTCCGGGGGGCCCTCGCCTCAAGCGCCGCGGCGACCAGCCTCCTGACACCGCCAGAGTCATGCTTACCCCAGAGACGCCACGCCTGCCGTACTTGCCTTCTGAAGATGATTACTCCTAGAAGATCCTCCGATACATGCGGCTTGATCGGGGCACGTGCGGGTTTAGGGAAGCATGTTTGTGCGCCCACGTACATGTATTGAATGATGTCGTGCAAGTGCTGACTCATGTCGACCTGGTGGGGCACCGTGGGAAACGCTGCCAGGTGCATCCTGAAGGCTGCTGCCTTATCAGGATCCTGGGTGCCCGTAGCGTCGTAGCCGCTCTGCTGTTCCGCTGCTTTTGTGGAGCCCTGGGACTCGAAGCGCATGAAGACAGGATAGTGATCCTTGCCAGTGCAAAAGGAATCAATAGCATATCGAACTTGATGTTAGTCCAATGCGGGAATCATACTCTGCTCAACCGCAATGTAGTCTATTAGGTGTGGTGTTTCAGACTTAGACGAGGCGAACGTGTACGAGTCCTGGCTGAGAGAGGGGGCTAGCGTGTTGGCCGCGGCCAAGCCCGTCTCCAAGAGCATGTCGTGGGAAAGTCCGCCCGATTCGTCCTCGTCCTGCCTGAATCCTTCATTCCCCACTGCTTCAGACACAATGCTGCCGAGTCTGGCATTCGCGTCCAGGAAGGCCAGCTGGACTTTCCATTTACGGCAGATCCCTATGAGGTCCCGCCACCACTGTTTCCTCTGTTGCGAAGTATACTCGTCTCCGCTGTGCAACGCATGGGCAACCAGGATGACCTTCCTAAAGAGTGGGGCGCAACATCCAACCACAAGGTGCCTCTGGGCAGCGTGCAACGGCCTAAAATGTTTCTGTTCAAAGTATAACTCTTCGCCCCCACGTCGCCCGTAGGGTAGGTGCAAGGAGACCCAGAGTTCAACGCCCAAGTTCTTGCCACCGTCGGATCCCGAAGCAAGCACAAAGTATCCAGCATAACATCTTTCTCCCGACGGATTTCGCGCCTCCTGCACCCCAACGATGTGGCACTGCTCCTGAGCAAACTGCAATCTGAGAACCTCTCCCGACGTTTTGGCGCGTCTTGCCGCCGTGGCCTCCGCGTCCCTGCCTGTCTTGGCGTTGAAGGTGGCAAGTCTCAAGCTGATGCTGAACTGGCAGGACTTGGGGGCCGTCTTCTGCGAGGGTTGGGATCCCACAGTATCCCTTAGCGTCTCCACCGACGCTTGAGGGCGCCCAGGGTACCGAAAGGTGTTGTCGGGGCCTATTGGGTACGCTTCTCTTGTGGCCATAGGTGCCTCCTGAAGCCACCGCCACTCGAGGTCGCTCGTGCATCTGAGTGCCTCGCGCAAGGCCGGCGGGGGTGAGCACCCAGCCGCTCGGTCCGACCGTGCTAAACTGTCTGCCAACTCATTCCATGGATGCCCAGAGTGACCACATACATGCAAAAGCAAAGTGCCGTGCCTCCTGCGCGCACACTGCTATACATGGTATGTAAGCCAGGCCAGGTGCTGGTTCTCCGACGGGACCTCCAAACCCGAGGATATGTTGACAGCAGATTGGTTATAGCAAAAAATGACCAGAGCTGGGGGGGAGTGCACCGTGCTCGGCCCAAAGAAACCCAAGATCCAGAGCGAACTCCATAATGTCCCCATGAGCTCGATAGTCGTGCTAGTGACGTCGTCCCTTTCGAACTGCATTGCCGTGGATTCCCATGCGTTCATTTTTTGCCACCCGAGGAAGCTCACCGCGTCATCAGGCGAGATCGCGGCAGCAGCGAAGGCCCAGGCTGAGTCCCGGAGTATCTTTCTGTACGAGGCGTCGACATAGATATGTATTGATCGTGCTTTATGTGCCCCGCGCGCAGAGATATCCAGAGCAAACTTGGCAGTGTGATGTAAGGGAATAACTCCAACATCGTCATTGCAAAGCTCAAACCAGGTGACGTTCTGGAGTAAAACCTGATATATCCTGTCCGCCTCCTGAAAACCACAGTGCCCACCGCCATTGCTCTCAGGATTCTGGAAAAGTAAAGGGAACAGACGCAGGGAAGTAGTATACCCACCATCCTCCCTCAAGGCCAGCACACTCCCCCCTGCAACTGCTTCGAGCTGCTCCTTGGATGGGGCGGGGTGCGACGGCGGTGGAGGGGGGGCGGGCACAACCGCAACTGTAATTGACGTTTGATTGGCCTCGCGTCCTCGCTCCTCATGCGCAGCATGCTGTAATTCGCGAGGACGAGGCAAGAACACATGTTCCTTCGAGGTCTTGCCCCGCAAGCGATACCTCGTTCGGCCGTTGGACCGAGTGGAAACTGACGATGAGTCCTCAGTGGCATCACCTGAAGTGGCTGCCGAGGAAGTATTGCCTGACTCCGAATTCCCAAGACCACAACCCTTGGACGAGATATCCGAGACAGGGGCCGACCTAAGAATCGGCCTAGTGAAACAGGTCCGAGAAAGCGTGTCCCTGGCTTGTCGGACGATCATCGGTGCATGCGCCTCAAAGCGATTAACTTCGACTGGGCCCCACGAGACCCTGCTAGGCCTTACAAGTTGGACCCGTCGTCCAGCTCGTAACCCTGGCACTGCATCTTCTTGGGGGGGGGACCTGTTGGGCGAGTCTCCTATGTCCTTCTCTTTGTCCTCCTCCTCTAGCGGTCGGGTCCTCGAAGCCGCAGGAGGTGCATCCGCTGCTGCTGCCGCAGGCGCTGCCGTCGGTCCCGATGAGGCCGCTGCCTGCGTGTGAGATGCCGACGATGCTGCCGTTGAAGATGTTGCAGCCGCCGATGCTGCTGCTGCCCAAGCAGGGGGGAACAGCGCCACGGGCGCTGGCTGCGGAGGGTCCACCTTCGATCCAGGCGACCTCTGCGCCGGCGGTGGTGTGGGGGAGCGCTGCGTCTGACTGGTCAAGTCGATGGAGGCCCCCTGGATGCGCTGCAAGATGTGCACTGGCCCTGGTATCATTTCCTCCGTCCATTGGCTGCGTCGCGATCAGTAGCTCTGGATCTATCGGCAAGACCTCCTCCTTGGGCTCGCTCCTCTGCAGCTCTGCTGTCACCCTGGACACGCCTTTCACCCTCGGTGTGTCTGGAACTGCCTTCTCCTCGGTCTGGGCCCTTGTCTCGGCTGAGACGCCAATGCTGGGGGCCCTGGCTGGCTTCGGCGATGCCGACTGTCTCTTCGGTGGCGGTGTCTTTGCCATGGGGGGGCTCTAGCGAGCTCGCTCTGCGCTGCGTAGGCGCCCTCGGCCCCGTGGCTGGCGCTGCACCAGGGGGGGCTGCGCCAAAATCTGGCGCTGTCGGGGCGGCGTCCCTTTGTGTGCGCTCTGGCGCCAATCCCTGAAGATCAGGGGGGCTCGCACTGGGGATCGAAAGTCCCGAGATCACCGCCCGCTGTGCCTTCAGAATCGTCTGCGCGTCCATGAGCACATCACCTGCCGTTGCACCGATGCCAACTCCCAATACCCTGGCCAGGGCGAAGGCGTGGAAGTTCTGGCCCGTCTGCATCCTCGAGAGGTGTTCCTGGATGGCCTGCTGCTGGGCCTGCACGGCTTTCATCTGCTCCGTCATCGCAGTGATGGCCGCCGCCGTTGGGCCCTCTTGCCCCTCAGTCCGCGGGCCTCTGTGCCAGGCGGTGCGCGGGCCAGCGGGCTCTGTAGCCGTCGGCGCCGTTGCTGCTGTGGCTGGCTGGCTGCGCGGCGCCCCTGAAGCTGCCCTGGGGGCTGCCTTCTGGGGTGGCTGATATGCCTGCAGCTGTGCCATGGGCTGATTGGGCGTTGGTGGCGGCGGCGGCGGCACTCTGCTGGCAATTGCCTCCGCCGCGGCC